TTATAGGCTTTGTTTTTGACAAATTACGTGTTTTCTTCTAATTGTACTATTAGGTCTTAGGTTGTTCCTTTTTGTACTTTTCTAATGCATGACAAGACTGTTTATCTGTGAATATAGCTTGTGGTCAGGTCTTTAAAGTTTAGATATTAATTAATGATCTTAACTAAAAATAAGAATTTAATTTATTTGTCTTCACAGAAATGAATATAATGCTGACATACTGGCCTAATGTCTAAATATTTTCAAGAAGGCCTCCTGACCCCCTGTGAAGCTTTGGCGAACCCGAGCTGGGAACCGCTGCCCTAAAGCACAGCAAGTCTTCCTGGGTACCATATTTAAAACATTACAGTCGAAACAAATCAACACATTAAAAAACATACATTAAACATTACAATCCACACACATGACCAACATAAGACTTGTTAGTTGTGTCTATTTCATTAAAACATACATTAAAACCTACAGGCCACATAAATCAAAAACTTAGGTATAAAAAAATACATTAAACATTACAAACAATACAAATGTCGAACATAAGACATTAGAAAAAACTAAATATTAACATGTATGAGTAAAAATACTATGCAGCAGAATGGCACCTGTCAGTGTTATACTGTAGTTATTATCAGTATTATTTTTACTGATGTGTTTACATTTAAGCAGCATTTAAATTTTTCAATTTAATTTTCATTTAAATTCTGGAAAGTAGGTTATTTTTAATTTATTTTTAATTACTGTTTGGTTGTTTGATCTATAATGGAGAGAAGATGACTTTCTGATTATCTTTTAATATTGTTTGCTACATACACGTATGTCTCTATAGAATTCAATTGTTTAGCTTGGGCCCCTAAATATACATTTTTTGTAATTACTAAATGAATACAGGCCCATGTGTCCTTTTCTTCATAGCCTTAACTTTTAGATAGTACTCTTTATGGTTGGTTATTGTAAGATCTGAACATTTTTGAGACACACTAATACCACAAGGTGTAGTCTGTATGATGTGTCTCTTGGTGTCAAAAATAGATATGGGATAGAAATGTTAATATATTCTCTTCTTCATTGATTATTGCACAATAATACCATCATGACACCCAGATATTAAAGGGCATAGATACCAGCTATAAAATAGAATGGAAATCTAATCTCATGGTATATATCATATCACTCAACCCAGAGTTACTCTAGCAGAGTTTTTCTTTTGAGTGAATGGTAAAAACGTGTCAATAAGGTGTCTTTTATGTAAACAGAAGCATGATTGCATTGTCTGGTATTTATCTTTGGCTCAATAATGTAATCAGGTGTAACACATGGACTTTATTTCTGTTGCAAAGTTGTTCTTCAGATCCCTTTTGACTGTTACACTTTAATTTCAAAGATGTATTTGCAATAATGGATAAAAATGATGAAATTATATTGTGTACTAATTACTACTACAGTTGGTATTGAAAGCGCCATTTGTCTGCCTTCGTTTATCAGCCTTCTAACAATGAGTTACTGAATACATCCACATGTGTGATCTAATGATCTTTCGCCGTGATGCTGACATGATGACTGCCCTCCATTCAACCCTGTCGCTGTGATCTGGGATGTTTGTTACCAAAGGCTTGAAAAAACAAATTTTTAAAATGAAAATTGCGCACTACCTTTTGTTTGGGATTGGAAGTGTCCGGTCCGAGTGAATGTAAAAAAAGTTAAGAAAATAACTAGGAGCACTCAAAGGGAAATGCATGTGTTTGCACAGCATGAAAGCTCAGAGAAGAGGAAGGGTAACAGGTAGAATTTGTCAAAATGTGTTCCTTCTTCTCCCTTTGAAACCTTGGGAAAACAATAACAGGGAAACACTGAGGAAAAGGTCAAGTGTGAGCCCCGAATGGACTGAATTGGTTCAAATTACTGCAAAATCAAGTCATACATTTGCAGTAATAGTAAACAAGACCTTTTCCTTCCCTTTAAGGTGCTAAAATGCAAATATATATATATTTTATTAAACATGCAGACCAGATTGATGTGCTGAAGCTGAAATGATGGAGACAAAAATGCACACTCCTCATCCTCTTCCTATCCAGGGACACAACATCCAATACAAAGTAGAGATGAGGTGACATCATCACTTTGCAGATGATGCAGATGCCTTTTGTTACAGGTGGTGGGGTGGTATCCGGTTGAAGCGTATTGAAATGGAAAGAAAATAATCATAATGGTAGAGGAGGAAGAACGCCTGCATTCATACGGCAGCAGCAGCGAGACGACATCGTCGGAAAAAATGACACATTATGGGACTGCTTGTTTATGTTTGGTTTTAACATGCAAATCCTTTGAAAGCCCAAATGAAAACAATAACAGACATTTTATGGGAACAAAGACTTGGGCAAATGTTCTGAAGGATGGTATTGTACACTAAATCAAACGCTCAGGATGCCAGTCACAAGGAGTCCAAGTTTTGTCCTGTATGGACAAAGCACTTTGTGTGCAAAGTGAGTAAATCTCCATAAGCCTCCATGTTAAAATTCGTTCAGCCCGCCTCAGCTCCTCCCACACTCTACATCTTTTCCCATTTCTGTATTAGCCCAGTGGA